TGAAGTTGCTGTTTATTTTTTTTTTTGGCCTGTTTGATGTATGTGTGAAACAATGTTGTCCAACAATAAACCGGAATTTTATTTTGCTGAGTTGTTCTAACAAAGCTGTCTCAAGCCTGGTTTTTCTGTTTCAATTTCTTTCAGAGTTTTAGAGGAGGGGAGATTGGTAAACTCAGGCCTACCTGTTTTGGGACAGTGGATTGAAGATATCCCTTATGCAGCAGGGTCTGATGGTAGTCAGGGGGCTGAGCTGTAATTGGCAGGGTATTCCCACTCTTTGGGCCAAGGAGCCTTCCCTGGGATCCTTTACCACTGGATGCCACTTATCGCTACAATCTCAGACACTGGGAAACCAGGCTACAATTGGAAGGTGACATTCTCTGCGGCCTAGGTTGATGGTGACAGAGCAAGAATGAACTTATGGCCAGACTCCTGGGAGGTTGCCTCTAGCTTTGGCTTTTCTTGTATGGGCTGCGCTCATTTAGCGTGCTGCAGAGTGGCTCCCCCTGGTGGCAGCACGTGGTACCAGCCAGCCCCTTAGGACGGTTAGCGTACTGATGCAAACTGGCCGTCGTCTCTAACCTTTGCCCTCCAGTAGAAACATTGACTAAAGTTAGGCAGGGTCCCTTCGCACAGTTGAAGATGAGACAGGGCATTTAAACTTTAAGACACAAGCTGTGAGCTATGGGACAGGAGATCCAACTAGTGGAAGTGATACCAAATGTCCCTGCAAGCCTCTGGTTTGAGCCCTGAAATGGATATTGTATCCCCCCTAGGGGACTGAGAGGTGGGAAGGGGCCCAGAGTGGGGGTAAGGAGGCAGGGAGATGAGATCCCTGGCGAGATGGCCCCAGGGGTCAGAATGGAACTCACTGGGAGGCAAGGGAGGGTGGGCTGAAAATCCGGACATGTGATGGGGTTTGTCTCACCTTTGAGCTGAGCGGACTTGGTGGGGGTCACAACTGCATTATCATTAGCAATTAGGATCCTTGACAGGAGACACCGAGCAATTTTTTTTTAAATTGAGAGTCTCACTTTGTCACTTGGATGGCATTGTGTCATCATAACTTACAGCAACCTCAAACTTAGGCTCAAGTGATTCTCTTGCTTCAGCCTCCCTGGTAGACTACAGGCACCTGCCACAATGCCTGGCTATTTTTTTTTTTTTTTTAGCCAGCCTGGGCGGGGTTTGAACCCACCAGCCCTGGAGCATGTGGCCAGCTTCCTAACCACTGAGCAGAGGCACCCAGCCACACCGGGCAATTTCATCTATACTCCCCTTGCTCCTCCTTTACTTTCCCTAACTCGGGTTCGCATCATCTGTTTTCAAGATGCCCATAGCTGGAGGTGGAGAGAATATTAATATCCAAGGGAGTAATCTATGACTGCTGCACCATGGACCAATGGACATGGCTTTGGGAGGGTTTCTCTGAGGAGGTGACAGTGAGAAGGGAGGATGGAAAGGGAAGTGTGGTAAGGGAGCAGCGCCCGGGTGGGCTTCTGGATCAGGAATGTGCTGAGCATGTGTGTTTGGGGGAAGGGGAATGTGAAGAGAAATGGGCACTTTTTTTTTGCAGTTTTTGGCCGGGGCTGGGTTTGAACCTGCCACCTCCAGCATATGGGGCCGGCAGCCTACCCTTTCAAGCCACAGACGCTGCCCCCAAATGGGCACATTTAAGGCAAAGCCAGAGAGACAATGTTAGCCCTGCTCTCACATCTACTGCAGACATATACCATGCCTGGTCCATCCCACACCTCTCCCCCACCTTTGTGGTGTCCATCCCACACCTCTCCCCCACCTTTGTGGTTGACACCAGGCACCAGGGTTCAGAGAGGGCGTTGTCCTTCCCTGTGCTGGAGCTTAGCCATCCTGGCAGGGTTGCTTAGGCCAAGGCATAGAGCTGCCCTGGGGATCAGATTGAGGTTTTTTTTTTTTTTTTTTTTTTAATAGATTTATTTTTATTTATTTATTTTCTGCAGTTTTTGGCTGGGGCTGGGTTAGAACTCACCACCTCCAGCATATGGGGCCAGCGCCCCACTCCTTGAGCCACAGGCGCCACCCTTTTGTTTTGTGTTTTTTTTTTTTTTTTTGAGACAGAGCCTCAAGCTGTCCCCCTGGGTAGAGTGCCGTGGCATTACAGCTCACAGCAACCTCCAACTCCTGGGCTCAAGCGAGTCTCCTGCCTCCGCCTCCCAAGTAGCTGGGACCACAAGCGCCCGCCACAACGCCCGGCTATTTTTTAGTTGCAGCCGTCATTGTTGTTTGGCGGGTCCGGGCTGGGGATTCGAACCCGCCACCTTAGGTGTACGTGGCTGGCGCCTTAGCCGGCTGAGCTATAGGCGCCGAGCCATGTTTTGTTTTTTAAGAGAGAGTCTCACATTATCGCCCTCGGTAGTGTGCTGTAACATCACAGCTCACAGCAACCTCCAACTCCTGGGCTTAGGCGATTCTCTTGCCTCAGCCTCCGGAGTAGCTGGGACTACAGCAGATTAAGATCTAGTAGGAGGAACCATCTGACTCCATGAGCCCAATCCACACCTTGGGCAGCTGCAACCTGGTTCATCTGGGAAGGGAAGCCCTTGAGCCCAAAACTGGCTAGATCCTCTATCTTTCAGGTGTTCCCAGAGACCAGTAGGGTGAATCTGTAAAGCACTTGAAGCCACATGTAGCAGGCCATGCTTAGACCTGGGATCAAGTCTAACCTAGCACCCTGAGGTGCTCAGAGCCACCGCTGGAAGCCCCCCAAAAGGAGGTGAGAAACAGCCCCGATTGGACACCGCAGCCATGTTAACATGGGACAAGTTAAGTGAACCTTGTGGGCCTAAATTCCTCCTCCGCAAAATAGAAACAATAGGATGCAGCATAAGCCAGGGCCCAGCGATTAAAGTGATCAATCACTGCTTGTTGACATGTTCTCAGGGTCCGGGGTCACCGTGATCTCACTCCCCAAGTCCTCTCCAACTGCAAGGACCGTGCCTCCCTTGGAGCCCAGGTTAGAAGATTTGCAAGGGACTGGCGCCCTCTGGTGGACACAGAGGAACTGCAGCGGCCTCTGCTCAGAGAGCCCTGATACCAGGGGAGGCAGCCTCAGCCACCCCTCACGGTTCTGTTCCACGACAAGACCTGTCTTCTTTGTCTCTCTCTCTCAATAGAGTCTCACTATGTTGCCTCAGGCTAGAGTGCCGTCGCATCATAGATCACAGTAACCTCAAACTTCTGGGCTCAAGTGATCTCTTGCCTCAGCCTCCTGAGAAACTGGGATACAGGCGTGCACTGTCATACCCAGCAAATGTTTTCATTTTTAGTAGAGACGGTGTCTCACTCTTGCTCAGGTTGGTCTCAACCTTCTGAGCTCAGGTGATCCACCTGCCTCAGTCTCCCAGAGTGCTAGGATGACAGGCATGAGCCACTCACTGTGCCTGGTCTCCTTTTGCTCTCTCCATTGCTAGGACCCCAGCCAGATGTGAGAGTTAGTGGTCATTTCCCAGGTCTGCCTTCAGGTGCCCCATATCAAGTACTTGGTCCTTATTTTCCTGGAGGAGAGACTCCAGGCCTCCCCTGAGCTGGAGCTGGGGCCAGGGTCTATTCCTCTAGTGTCTTGGCCTTTCCTGTGACCACATGTTCGCTTGCCCAGCTCTGTTCAAATGCTTGGCATGCACAGACCCAGGTCATTTCTGCCCTGAGTAGGGGATATGGGAGATGGATGTTCATCAGCCTCAGGCCCTATTGTAGGACTTCACACATCCTCAGTGTGACTGTTGCCCTGAGAGTAATCCTGGGGCCCTCAGTCACTAGAGTCTGGGCCTCCTAGCTGCACTCCCTGGCTCTGTCTAAGTTGCCTGCCACACTGCCCCAGGCCTGGGCGCCAGCATCCCATACTGCCTCTCCACTTTCATCACTGTTCCAGGGTTCAGGTAGCTCAGGCTCTGGTTCTTCCCAAGTCCTAGATTCCAGACCTTCCAGGGCCTCACTGCCCAGCTCGCTTCTGCCAGGCCTCCTCCGTGGGCTGGATGCTTATGTTCTAGGTGCAAGCCAGCCCTGCTTGCCTCGGGCTGCTAGCCACTCTGTGGTTCCCTTGTGGTAGGAGCAGCTTTATAGGATGGAAACCCTGGACTCAGCTTTACTTGGGACCCAACTCAGTCTGGTTAGGCCTCACAGGGCTGGCCTCACCCTTACCCTAATCCTGCTGGTCCAGTGGCCCATTTCTCTGATGCAAGTGTGGTTTGGTTTTTTTTTTTGAGATGGAGTCTCACTCACTTTGTCACCCTTGGTAGAATGCTATGGCGTCAGACCTCACAGCAACCTCAAACTCTTGGGTTTAAGTGATTCTCTTGCCCCAGCCTCTTGAGTAGCTGGGACTACAGGTTCATGCCCAGCTATTTTTAGAGATGAGGTCTCACTCTGGCTCAGGCTGGTTTCAAACCTGTGAGCTCAGGCAATCCATCTGCCTTCATCTCCCAGAGCGCTAGGATTGCAGGCATGAGCCACCATACCCAGCCCTGTGGTTCAGTTTTGCAGTATGGCTATGTTCTCTACACCTCCATATTTTGTAGGCAAGGGCAGGGCCAGCCAAAGACAGGGCTGTGCTCTGAGGCTGTCCTCTCTGGAGACATCAGCCTATGCTTGAAGGTCTGGCCTGAGCTCAGAGAGGTGATAGAAGCTCAGATCAGAAAGCAAGGCTGGAACATTGCAATGCTGCCTAGCACATCAGCCTCAGACACTGTGAACAATACTAGTGTTATTCACAGGGAAGGAGTGGCAGCCAGCACTGGTGCAGATTCCATGAGGATAGCCTAGAGACTGGGCGTGGAGGGTGTGTGTCCCCAAGGACTCTCCATCAA